CCTTATAAAAACCTTTTAAAAACTTTATAAAGCCTTAATACACATTTAAACACCTTATAAAAACCTTTTATACAACTTTATAAAGCCTTAATACACTTTTTAATTAGTTTTTAAACCCTTAATATACATTTAAACACCTTATAAAAACCTTATAAACATTTTATAAAAACCTTATAAAAACCTTTTAAAAACTTTATAAAGCCTTAATACACATTTTAAACACCTTATTAAAATACAAGGGTTTTAAAAGGTTTTACAATCTTGTAAATACTTCACAAAACCTTATAAAAGCGTTTAAAAACTTGTTAAAACCTTTTAAAAATCTTAAAAAAGGCTTGTAAAATCTTTTCAATACTTTTAAAAGTTTTTAAAAGTCTTCTAAAAACCTTTTTTAAACCTTATAAAAGGCTTGTAAAATCTTTCAAATGCTTTTTAAAATCTTGTAAGACCTTTTAAATACTTTAACATTATTTCCATAGGTTTTCAAAGTTTTTAAGACCTTATTGCTTTGTATTTTACGTGTAGCATCATGTTCATAATATTATTTACCAAGATCTTAACCACATACATATGTATCTACATATAGCAAAGAAACAAGGAAGATAACTATATTATAATAAAGCCAAGAACGTGGATGAGAACAAGCACCACTACAGCTGCACACCACAACCTTTTACAAATGCAAGCAAACACCACCAACATTTTTCCAGCTGCAATTCTCACACCTGAAATCGCCCACCTCAACATTGGAACCAAACAAGGGATTGATCCTTCACAGATAACAACTTCTTTAACAGTAGGACACAACGCTATATTCCTCATAAGCTTTATAATCGCCTTTAGTCCCACCAACAACACCACAATCCATTACGAAAACCGTGATAATCTTTATTAAGATTCCAACCTGTATAAAACACATTAAAAATCAATTTAAAACCTTTTAAAAGCATTTTAAAATGCTTTTAAAAGGTTTGTAATTTTTTTTGGTACACTAAGATTATGAAACAAAAACTAAATTTCAGAGTATACCCTAATGAATCTGTACCTACTAACATTCAATTCAATTTTACCCAAAATTTATATGGATTCTACAAAATTAACACAAACCTAAATAATGGATTCAACAGTCCATAACTGACGACAAGTGCTCTACCAACGACGACGCTAGAGAGAGCAGATCCAGAGAGATGATGGAGAGAGAGAGAGCAGATCCACAGAGAGATGATGGAGAGTGAGAGCAGATCCAGAGAGAGATGATGGAGAGAGAGAGCAGATCCAGAGAGATGAGATCCAGAGAGATGAGATCCAGAGAGATGAGATCCAGAGAGATGAGATCCAGAGAGAAGCAAATCGAGAAAGTAGATCGAGTATTGAGAGAGAAGTGATCCTAAGAGAGAGGAGATGCAGAGATAGAGAGGAGATGCAGAGAAAGAAGTGATGGAGTGAGAGAGAGAGAGAGAGAGAGAGAGAGAGAGAGAGAGAGAGAGAGAGAGAGAGAGAGAGAGAGAGAGAGAGAGAGAGAGAGAGAGAGCTTTTTGAGTGAGATTAAGAGAAAATTTGTGTTTTCATTTCGACCTGAGATATTCTAAAGGTTAGTTATCAGATCTGTCTTTTTCCGCTAGTTTTCTAATTTTTAAGTAGTTTCACATATTTGACATATTCATTTCTTAGTATCTTGTTGAGAGCATTTTCAAATCATAGCTAAAGAGTTAAGAACTTTATACGCTTTGGGACCGTCTAATAGACGGTTTATTTATTTTCAAAATTAAATAAAATTTATTATTTTATTGTAAAAATATTAGATCCAAAGTATTTACAAAAATAGATAATTTTGTTCAGTTTGTAAATTTTTTTTTGTTGAAAAAACTTAATTTATGTACCATACATATTTAAAAATCGTTAATAAAAATTTATCATTGAAGTTTAGTAATGTTAAATTATCGAGCACCAAAATAATATCTCTTTATAAGACAAAGGATAATAATATCTTTTTACTTCATCTCACTTGTTAGGAGTCATGGCTATTTTCCCATTAAAAATGTTTCTTAATTTTTTTAATTTG